ATGGATGTCAACAAACTTATTTTAAAGTTTATATGGAAACACCAACAACCAAGAGTAGCTCCCATAAAACTGATGAAGAAGAACAAAGCTGAAGGACTGAGGCTACATGACTTTAGACTTACAATAAACCGGTAGTAATCAAGACAGCACGGTATTTGTAAAAGAACTGACAGACAGACCAGTGGAACAGAACAGAGAGTCCAGAAATAGTCAATTGATCTTTTACAAAGGAGCAAAAGTAATTCAATGAAAGAAGGACCATCTTTTCAATGTGCTAGAACAACTGGACATCCATATACAGAAACTGACTCTTTCACCTTACACCTTTCCTAAAAATTAACTCAGAATGGAATGTAATAGACCTAAGTGTAAAACACAAAACTTCTAGAAGGAAACAGAGGAGAAAATCTAAGTGACTTTGGGTTTGGCAATGAGTTTTTAGTTATAAAACCAAAAGTATAATTCATGAAAGAAGGGATCAATAACTTGACATATTAAAATTAAAAAAATTTTTCTGTGGAAAGCATTGTTAAAAGAATTTTTAAAAAGGCCACAAAATGGAAAAAAATACTTGTAAAACACGTTTGATAAAAGACTTTTATCCAAACACAACAGTGTATATCAACTGTATTTCAACTTTTAAATAAATAAATAAGCCTATTAGATCAATTACAAAAAAAAACCCCTCTTATCCAGAATATACAAAGAACTCTTAAAGCTCAGCAATAAGAAAACAACAACCCAATTAAAAATGGGCTGAAGCCAGAAATAAACCCACACACCTATAGTCAATTAATCTTTGACAAAGGAGGCAAAAATTAACAATGGAGAAAAGACAATCTCTTTTGCATGTGGTGTTGGAAAAGCTGGACAGCTGCATGTAAATCAGTGAAGTTAGAACACTCCCTCACACCATATACAAAAATAAACTCAAAATGGCTTAAAGACTTAAACATAAGACAGGATATCATAAATCTCCTAGAAGAGAACATAGGCAAAACCATTCTCTGACATAAATCATAGCAATGTTTTTCCTAGGTCAGTCTCCCATGGGAATAGAAATAAAAGCAAAATATATATATATATAAATGAATCACTATGCTGTACACTAGAAATTAACACAACATTGTACATTGACTATACTTTAATTAAAAAAATTGAACAACAAAACAAACAAATGAGCATATTTACAAAACAGAAAGTGACTCACAGACATAGAAAACAAATTTGTGGTTACCAAAGGGGAAAGGGAGGAGGGATTAGCAGATACAAACTACTATGTATAAAATAGATGAACAACAAGGTCCTAATGTATAGCACAGGGAACTACATTCTATATCTTGTAATAACCTATAATGAAAAAGAATCTGAAAAATATATATACATATATATGTATAACTGAATCACTATGCTGTACACCAGAAACTAACAACATTGTAAATCAACTAAACTTCAATAAAAAATAAAAATCACCTGGCCAGATATCCACCTTACCTGACAAGATATACAGATGGCAAATAAGCTTATGAAAAGGTGCTCACATCATATGTCATTAGGGAAATGCAAATTAAAACAACACTAAAACATCACCACACACATATTAAAATGGCTAAAATCCAAAACACTAACATATCAAATGCTGACAAGGATGTGGAGCAACAGGAAGTCTCATACATTGCTGGCGGGAGTGCAGAATGGTTCAGCCATTCTGGCAACGTATTTATTATAAAGCTAAACATCTCCTGACCACGTTATTTAGCAATTTCTCTTGTCCGTATTTACCCAATTAAGTTGAAAGCCTATGTCTATACAGACACTGCTCACAAATATAATATGGCACAAATGTTGCACATTGCTCTAGTTTATACAATAATAAAGGCCTTTTGTTTATTAACTTTAAAAAAAATTCATAATTGCCAGCAATTGGAAGCAACCAAGACATCTTTCACTAGGTGAATGGATAAAACAAACTGTAGTACATCTAGACAATGGAATATTATTTGGTGTTAAAAAGAAGACTTGGAGGGACCTTAAATGCATATTGCTAAGTGAAAGAAGCTAGTCTGAAAAAATCTACACACTCTATGGTTTCAACTATATGACATTCTGGGAATGGAAAAACTGTGGAGACAGTAAAAAGATCAGTTAAGCACTACACTGCAGCTCTTATGAGATTTAGCCCTTCCACTGGGCTCAAATATGCACTGGCATACCAGTTGAAGACAAGTCCCTCTATATGAGATGTTGGCTTCATTTCAGTGACCCTCCTTCTCTGTTCCCAGGAGTCTCCTGACCTCACTGCTGTAGAGTAGAAGTTTGGAGACAGCCAAGTGAATAGCAGAGACTAACGCAAGTTAGAAAAATAAAAGGAACAATTTTTTCCTCATTAAATTAGTCAAATGATGATAATAATTTAGGTGACCTACAAGTAGTAAAAGCAAAAGTCAGACATTAAAACAGTAGGAATATTTACTGACATTTGTATAACCTTTCAAAGAATGTTCTGACCTACATTGTTGCAGGAAATCATTTGATCTTCCCATCAGTTCTGTATTTATTATAGCTATTTTAAGAGTTAAGGGAACCGATTATCACATGCCTGAGGTTACACAACTAGTAAGTGGAAGAGCTAGTTACTTAAACTCTAGTCTTTCTACCTTTAAGCCCCACTGTTCTTTCTACCAAAGAAAGCAAGGGCTTTGGTGAGAAAAAAAAAAAAGAATGGATTTTAGAGTCAGCTTCTCTTGTCAAAAATGAGAATAATACCCTAGAGTAAGGCTGCTTCACGGGTGAGCCCAACTCTGGCTAAATATTTTTTTTTGTAAGGCTTTATAAATAAGTTGAGGGGTCTGTGTGAGATATAATGATTTATTGATGAGGATTTAGAGCAATGGGGGAAGAAGTGTTACTTACATATGTGTTTATTATCCAGTCAGGGCACATGAGGGTTCTTCATAGTATCCAAACACCATTTCTTTCTGTTCAGGTTCAGGAAACACCTCATCATGTTTTTTATTATCAGATGTATCATTCTCACCAATTTCACATTTCCTACCACAAGAAAAAGGTAGCAATACTGTTACTATTTAAGGTGTCATGTTTCTCTGGAACGTGTTTTATAGAAACGATGTACATCTTCTTGTCTCTTCAGTCCTCTGGTACACTTTATTTCTTGCTGGTTACATCATTACTCATGATGCTGTATTATCCTTAGACTTTATGCAGGCCAAAAATACTGGCTTCCAGTGACTCTCAAAGGTTGTGACTGCTTTGCTGACAATGATCACAAACGCAAGTCTTACCCAAAGCAGGCAGGGAAAATGTGAATTGTAATTAGTTTTATGGTTGTGTTAAATTTATCATTTGAACCTGCCAAGACTGACTCACGAAGAAATGGATAATCTAAACAGACCAATTACTAGTTAGGAGATGGAATCAGTAGTCAGAAGCCTCCCAATAAACAAAAGTCCAGGACCAGGTGGCTTCACTGGTAAATTTTACCAAACATTTAAAGAAGAATGAATACCAGTCCTTCTCAAACATTTCCAAAGAATAGAAGAGGAGGCTATTCAAACACTTCCAAACTCATTTTACGAGTCCAGCATTACCCTGATACCAAAACTAGACAAAGACACTACAAGAAAAGAAAATTACAGACCAATAGCTCTGATGACCATAGATGCAACAATCCTCAACAAAATTTTAGCAAGCCAAATTCAACAACAGATTAAAAGGGTCATACACTATGATCAAGTGGGATTAATTCCAGGGATGCAAGGATGATTCAACATCCATCAATCAGTCAATGCAATACACCACAGTAACAAAATGAAGGAAAAAAGTATATGATCATCTCAATAGATGCAGAAGCAGCATGTGACAAAGTTCAACATCCATTCATAACAAAAACTGTCAAAAAGTGAGTATAAAGGGAATATGCCTCAACAGAATAAAGGCTATATATTGTAAGTCCATAGATAGCGTCATATTCAATGGTGAAGAGCTGAAAAGTTTTTCCTCTAAGATCAGGAACAAGACAACGATGCCCACCTTTGCCACTTTATTCATCATAGTATCTGAAGTCCTAGCCAAAGCAATTAGGCAAGAAAAGGAAATAAGAGGAATCCAAATTGTATTTGCAGATGACATGATATTGCATATAGAAAATCCTAAAGACTCCACCAAAAAACTGTTAGAACTATTAAACAAATACAGTAAAGTTGCTAGATACAAAATCAATACACAAAAATCAGTTGTGTTTAAAACAGTCTCATTACTAATTGCATCAAAAATAATAAAATGCCTTGGTAAGGGAAAGACCCACACACTGAAAACTATAAGACACTGATGAAAGAAATTAAGGAAGACACAAATAAATGAAACGATAGTCTATGCTCATGAATTGGAAGAATTAATATTGTTAAAATGTCCATAGAATCCGAAACAATCTACAGGTTCAGTGCAATCCCTATCAATATTTATCATTTGAAATTTTATAGTATAACTTGAAACAGCACATCTTCCAACATGTCTTCTCTTGGACTCTTTTAGCCTCATATGCCTGGGTCTAAAGGCTGCACTGCCTTAGAGGATTATTCTGAAGCTAAATTAGATAATTAAGTCAACTGTCTGGCACATGGTTTATTCTCAATAAATGTTAGTTCCCCTGTTCTTTTCACTACCATCCAGAAAGAGGTTGTGTTTTCTTTTTTTAAGTAAGACGTAGAAACAAAATAGAATTAGAGCAGTTGCAAGAGATCCCTGGTGGAGAGTCTTTGTGAGAGTTGCCTATACAGCTCAGGCTAAAGCGTTTGCAAGAGTTTATTGGAGAGCATCCTCCCAGCTAAAATGAAATAAATTTCAAGGCCCTGGAGACAAAGATAAACTACAGTAATGTCAGCTCCAGGATCACTAATCAAACAGCAGAGTGGCCTGGTTTGTTGAAAGGGTATTGCAGTGCCCAGTCGCACGAGCTGAAAGGTAGGGCCTCCAGAGCTGAGAAATAGCCCAGATTCTAGGTGACATAGACCAAGCAGTCCCTGTTCTCTTATAGTGCTGGAAGAGACATGATACTAGGCAGCCAAGTTTGTCATAGGTCACCGTAAGTGGGGCAAAGCTACATAGAAGCCCAGGTGTGTGGTGGAGTTCACAAAGGGTCAGTGATGCCCACCCAGAGCAGGATGGATTGGCAACACCCCAAATGTGAGTGAACAAAGAGACTGATGATAATACAGGCAGAGCCAGCAGGACTGTAATCAGGGAATCAGAGGGAAAAGGCAGTCAGAGGAGACAGAAATTGTCCTTAAGGAAAAACATTTATATCTTGGAGCTTGAAAGGGTCTGTGGCACTGTTAAGTGTTAAGTAACCTTTCTTCCATAAAGGCTATTTCAGAAAAAAGAAATGAAAATGAAAATGTTTAGTGACTGGCTAAGATTACTAACCTAGGCTGCTTCTGCCATTTCCCTAAACCATGTCATTTTTTCCAGAAACATCCCTTTAGTACCTAGAGAAGTACATCTTCATCAGGAAGGTTAGAGAGGATAGAACTGGAGAAGCAGTGGTGGGGTGAGCTCTGTGCTGAGGGTTCTTTCTGTGTGCTCATCATGCAGGCCCTCCCATCACAGTTATACTGGCTACCTTTGATCAAGTTGCTATATTTGTTTGAAAAGAAACCACTATTTATTAACTGATTTTTCAGACAGTGTGCTAAGTGTTACATACATGGTCTTATTTCATCCTCACAACCAGTTCCTTGAACTGCTTTCACTGAATGAGATAAATTTCCAGTAAACTATGACGTGGAATGAGGGAGGGGGCATAGTAGGGGGCTGATTTGAGTTCAATCCTTTCTGAGAGGTTCTAGAAATTAGACCATTGGTCACAAGATGCCCATCACTGATTTATAGAGTCCTAACCCTAAAAGTCCCTTCTCCATTTCCACCAGCCATCACCATCACACCCCCACACTTCCTATCAATTAATCTTTCAAGTCAAAGTAACCAATGGAGTTCAGTCCAACAGACATTCTGTTGGGTACTTACATACTCAGCACCATGCATGGTACTCTGTGCTATGCACTGTGCTCAGATTTCTTGGTCTGGGAGAGAAAGATATTTAAATGGACAGTTATTCTTCAGTATAACAAGCGCTAGCCATACTGTGTCCTAGTCGTCATTGTATCCCTAATCCCAGGCCAGCATCTGGCACAGAATAAGACCGTTAGAGTTAGCATATTCTGAGAGAGAACCATGTGCCAGGCATTGTACTAAGCACTTTATTCTCAACATAATCCTCACAATAATTTTATGAAGTAAGTACTAGTATAATTCCAGTTTTAAAGATGTGGCGATTGAGGCACAGAGTAATTAAATAACATGCCCAGCTAGTAAGGGATGGAGCCAGGATACAAATCCAAGCAGAATGACTGTTGCTTCTAAATATCTGTTGAGTGAATGAATGAATGAATGAATGAACGAGAGGGAGGGAAAGACGGAGAGAAAGAGAGTGTGGGAACAACTGAGCAAGGTCAGTCTGAGTATGTCAGCTCTAGGTAAGATGGGGCCCACAGGCGGTAGGTTGGTTCTGCTTTGGAGGGGAAGCAATCACGAGAAGCTTCATAAAGGAAAGTGGTGCTTAAACTGAATGTTATAAGACAAACCGGTAGTCACTGGCCAGGGCAGGGCAGGGTAAACAGAGCTAAGGCACATTCTCAAGGACATTTCTCGAACTGTTGCATCTCTCCTGCATCATGCATGAGTTTGTTCCTTATTCTAACCAGCTCATAAACTTGCTAAAAATTTTCCTAACCTCAAAACACATCTTTCCCTGCTTCTTCCCTCTAGCTATTGCCCCATTTCTCTGTCTTCCTTTATAGCAAAACTTCTGAACATTGCAGTCTCTGTTCCAGAACTCCAGTTCTTCTGTTTTCTCTTAAACCCAGTGAAGTCAGCATTTTGCCCCCACACTCCAGTTACACAGCTCTACTCAAAGTCAGGAGTAACCTCCATGTTGCCCAATCCAGCGGGCGTCCAGGTGTGATCAATCCTATGTCCCCACATTAGCGGGCCTAGTGCAGCGTTTCACCCAGCTGGTCCCTGCGTCCTTCTTGAGACACCTCCTTCCTTTGGCAACTGAGACCTCACACTCTCTCCTGATTATTTTTCTATCTCATGGACTGCCGCTTTCAGCCTTTTGCTGTGCTGCTCCTCGCCTCCCAAATGTTGATCCTTAAAACGCACATGGTGGTCAGGGCACTCTTCCACTGGAAATTGTTCAGTGAGGATGTGTGATAGAATCCACACTTGAGCTAGGTGTTGGAAACCTCCAGGACCTGCCTGTGCCACCTCACCTTTCATGTCATAGCTGTGTGGTGCTCTAGAGGACAGCCAGCCCCTCCAAGCGTGCTTTCTCACCACATTCTCCACCATCCCTGGGAACTGAGTGGTTCCCACTTGCCGACGAGGAAGCAGAGAATCAGGTTGTCCACCACTTGCCCCAGGTCACACAGCTTGCAGTGTCTTTTGTGAAAGTTTCTGATTCCGGGTCCTACGTTCTTCCCGTTTACGACCCATCGTTTGGCCTGATCCCTTAAGCTCAGTGCTTCCGAGTGAAGCAGAGGAGTGGAAGTCTGGTTCCTTCTTTTAGGTTCCAGCCTCTCCATCGGGATTTCCTCTTGAGAGTGCAGTGGTTTACACTCTTCACCCCAGGCGCTTGGTAGTCACGTTTGCAGGACAATGGGTGCTCTTACTGGTTGAAATGCTAAATCCCCCCAAAGGAAAGGCCAGCTGCAGAGTATGAGAACAAGGGCTGCATGATTCGATCAGACATCTAGGGGGGCCTCCTGGCATTTGGAGCGTGAGCGCCTCAGAGAAACTAACTATTCTGGCCCGAGGGAGCTGGCGACTGTTAATCTTGGTGGTTTTGACCGCTAACTGCCCTAGAGGTCCCCGTCTGCTGTATGACTCAGAATCCCCAACACTCCCCCTATTCTTCTCTCACTGGGATGGTCAGGAGGCCATTTCTGAGGCATTTTAATTTGGTAATGACTTGACATGGCCCACTCTACCCAGGGCTATGTGTTTTAGAAGTTACTGTTGCTTTCTCAGTGGGGTTGATTTAGACCTGCTTGCTCATCCTCGATATCTAACGACCCTGCACTGCCCTGGGAGGAGACTGTCCTGCTGGGTTCTGGTCTCCCTGTGCTCCAGTTTACCTGTGCACCCTCTTCTCGTCATGGCTCGGACTCTCCCATAGCCCTGATTCTTGAAGCACCTTGCCGGAGGTTGATGGTGTGCAGGAGAGAGGGGAAAGATGTGCCCGAAGCTTTGTCTGTAGTTGTACAGGCCTTTCTGCAGTGCTCTGTGCTAAGGGGGCGACCGCCACCCATCTTTCCTTCTCTTTGGGACCCACAGAGCAAGGCAGGCAGAAGGTGGGAGACAGAGACGAGAATATGAGGGGCTCATGATGTCTCACTGCTGGTATTCATGCTTCCCGAGAGCTGTGCATGGCTGCTGCTTCTTCTTCTATTTTTTTTATGATATTCATAAATTTATTCATGACGTACATGTTAGAAACTAATGCTGTGTTTGGTGGAGCTTAGGCATAGCTCTTTAAGAGAGATCTTTTTTTAAAAAAACAAATATTATATTTTAAAATCACCATTCTAGAAGATAAAACTCAATATAGATTCTGAAAATGAACGAGGACAAGGATTGGAGGGTAGCATAAAATGAAAAAGTCAAGGATTGCTGGTGAGATGGTGGAAGATTATTTTTCTTATTTAGAGTTTTCTGATGTACTATATTGTGGCAAGTGATTGAGAAGCCACCCTTCAGACAGCAGCTTTTAAAGTGTACAAGTATGTATAGTCCTGTGGGACTGCAAGCTTATGCCCTGGTGGGCACCATGGCCAGTTGATCTCGAGGTGTCCCCTGGACAGCAGTCCCCACAACGGGGCTCCAAATGAGTGTATAAACTCCTGTCTCGGAGATACCTGGGAATGGCTTTGACGCGGACTTCCTCTCGTTCGGGGTTGCTGGGAGTGGCTCAGCCCGTCTTTAAGTTTTTTCAGAGGGTTGTTACATGTGTAGCTGTAGACTCGGTGTGTTTGTGGGAGGAGGTAAGATCAG